TACTTCCTGAACTAAAAACTCAATCAAAAATAAATTTTGACACAATTTTATTTTCACAAAAGTGTTCAAAAGGCTTGGATTTCATTCCAGATTTCAAAAGCTGTCATGAAATACAACTGTCGTCTGGTCAGCTCTAACATACAGCATCTGAGGGCTTGTCCGCATGTGGAAATTTACCCACATAATTATACGGTTATATAATTATACTGATGTAAATTCCCACATAAGAAGTGCTGTCACAAGTAGCATTATACCAGTATAACTGCTATGGTATAATTATATTGGTAAATTTCCCCTAAACATCAGTAAGTAAAGAGTTGTATCCTTTACATGATCCTGAAGACTACATGGAAAAAGCTAAATCATTTTAGCTAAAATTAAACAAAACAAAAATAACCCAAAACAACCAATTTGAGGCAGACCCTCAGGATGTAAATTTCAGGCTGAAGTTATGCTATGATAAAACTATAAACAACTGAAAACAAACTTTGAATGGGACATCTCAGGCACCTTAATAACAAGTGGCACTAAGTAGATCTGTCCACAAAAACAAGCAGCCCAATTCCAGAAAAAAACCTTTTTTGCTAGGTAGAAACAATCCACTAGCAAGACTCAGTTTGCCAGTTACTGTATGGCTACGTCTAGACTACATCCCTTTTTCGAAAAAGGGATGTAATTTAGACGTATCACAATGGCTAATGAAGCGGGGATTTAAATCTCCCCCACTTCATTAGTATAAAAATGGCTGCCACTTTTTTTCGGCACGGAGATTTGCCGGAGAAAAGCGCCAGTCTAGACGCTGATCTTGCAGAAAATAAAGCCTTTTCCGAAAGATCTCTTATCCCTCTTGAAATATGTATTTATTATTTATGTCTGTAGCAGTAATATTTTGGACCTCATGGTTCCAGACACTGTACAAATGTGTGTAAGACAGATGGTTCCTGTGCCAAGGAGCTTGTAATCTACCATCCAGCATGGCATTTTCAACTTCAGCATAGCAACACCTATAGGGTGCGTCTAGACTGGCAAGATTTTGCGCAAAAGCAAGCGCTTTTGTGCAAAACTTGCCAGCTGTCTACACTGGCTGCTTGAATTTGCGCAAGAGCACTGACGTTCTAATGTAAGAATTCAGTGCTTCTTGCGCAAATACTTTGACGCTCCCGCTCAGGGATAAGCCCTCTTGCGTAAGAGGGCCAGTGTAGACAGGCACCTTAATTTTTTGCGCAAGAAAGCCCGATGGCTAAAATGGCCATCGGGGCTTTCTTGCGCAAAAGTGTGTCTATACTGGGCACGGGTGCTTTTGCGCAAAAGCACCCGTGCCAATTTAGACGCTCTGTTGCGGAAATACTTTTAACGGAAAAACTTTTCCGTTAAAAGTATTTCCACAAAATCATGCCAGTCTAGACTCAGCCATAGAGAAAGATCAGCAGCATACACCAACATCTTGGTATACTGGCATCTATGCTGAGGGAACCCTCACCAAGCCCACTCCCCTGTGAGCTGAAAAGTGACACCATTGCTATGGCACTGATTGGCTTAAAGGCGCTCTAAGGTGGATGCCCAGAACAGGGGATTGTGAGATGTGTGACAGAAAAGGCAGGATGGGCACTTGGCCTGGCATGCCGAGACACACTGGATGGTGGTGGATGGGGGAAGTGAACAAGGGCCAACATCCAGGTAGGGCAGGAGGAGCTAGGTGCCCATAAGCCAAACTGTACAACAGGAAGTAAGTGCCTGAGGAAGGGCGGCGAAACTGGAACTGCAGGGGTGGGTGCTTGGAATGGGTCTGTGAGACACAGAGTGGATGTGTGTGTGGAAGGGAGGCGGCGGGGGAATGGCAGATGCCCACCAGGGAGGTGGTGCTGGGCGAGGGCAGGAGTCCAGAGGCAGGGCTGAGAGTGGCAGGGGGGGGGGGGGGGGGGGGGGGGGGGGGGGAGGGGGCGAAAGGGACGGGTTCGGTGTGCGGCGTGCGGGCTCGGCCGACTGGCCCCTTCCGAGCCAAGCGCCTGGCGTTTTGTGT